CTCTCAAATTTTCCAGGTAGTAGGTGTATATTTTTAGAAAATAACTTCTTAGGGTTATTTCATTCCCTAATTTCTAATATGGATTAAAATACATGCGTCATTGTTTTGGACAATAATTTAAACTGGCCTTTAGAGAAACTGTATCTCAATCATATTCTATTGGTTCACCATCATATTGCTATGAGGATACAATTTATTGGTAAAATGAGTAAACTTTATTACAGGTAGTGAGTGCTTTGAACCACCAGTGTTTCCTCGGGTAACAGATAAGACACCACACAAATTACAATGTATCTACAAAAAGTCCAAATCTGGACTAGACAAGACTTGATATACCCTCTCATCCTTTAATGCAGAGGGGAAAACTGTTGACCTTCCTTCTGGGACTGGACTATGAAACTGATTAATGTGCATATGTAATATGAACTGTGGATCACACAGAATAACTCCAGTATACTGAAGTCACAATTAAGTAACAATGTTTCAACCTTTTCCATACATGAGAAGCATTGTGATAGAATACGGATGTGTGTAAAAACTTCTTTGGTCATATCCAAACTAGTTTCTTAACTAATCACAACCCCCCAGTTATACTAGACATTTGAAGGGAAGACTGAAAAACATATTAGTGCAATGTGGCAATAACTTTGTACATTGAAAGTATATTATCAAAAGATTTCTGACAATAAAGAACAAGGTAGGTTTTGTTGGTTGCATTTTCCCTCCCCTCCTCTCCTTTCCTCTCCCCTCATTTTTCCTCATGTAACCCAGGCTGGTCTTGGTTCTCTATATGACAAAAGATGCCTTCAGCCTTTGAGCCTCCTGATTCTACCTCCCCAGTGCTGGGATTATAGACATGTACCACTATGCTGGAGCTTGAATCTAGAGTTTCATAAAATTCGAGGCAAGATTCTACTAATTGAGCCACATCTCCATCTCACCCTCCCCCCGTTTTTTTTTTTTTTTTTATTTTGAAATAAGGTCTTACTCCATAGCAGCCCAGGTTGGCCTAGAATAATGCCACACTATGTATAGGCTGTCCTTAAAATGGCAATTCTCCTCCCTCAGTCTCCCGAGTGTCAGGATTCCAGGCTGCGCTCCCACACCAGGCTAGGATTTCTTGTTCACCTGTGTTTCTGTGATGTTAAGCCCAGGCCTTTGGTGTGCTAGGCGATGGCTCCAGCTCAGCTTGTTTGGCTTTGCAGTTCATCAATATGCACCACGTTCTCTATTATAGAAGTCAGTGGAGTGGAGAATTCTGTTTTCTTTTGAATCCAGTGTCAGTTACTAACTTTATTGACTTCCAGTTCCAAATCTCCCTTTCCAAGTTTGCTCTAAGACACTGGACTGGACTCAAAGCAGTTCTCCTTTGTTGCAGTCATGGTGTTAAGCTTCGTCATGTTAAGAAGCATGCTGCAGCTGCAAGGAGCAGCTCTTCTGGTTGGTGCTGCATTTTGCTTTTCTGTGTGGTCATAGTGCTGCCTGTGCATGGGGATAGCTGACGGTGCACCGGCCAGTCTTGAGTCCAGAGTGCAGACCTTTCAAGATGTCACATCCCTGGCCTGGGCTCCATCACAACCTGCAGTTGACACACTACTCTCTCTTCCAGGCCTGTGCCCAACGTAGCACCCCAGCTCCTTATGCATCCACCTGAGCATCTAACTTGGTGCTTAGAACTGAGGTTGAGCTCTGGCTTCAGCAACCCAGAGAACATCTCTGTCATTTGGTGGACTGAAACCACTGTCTCCAACAAGCTGTGAGCCCTCACCATAGGGACAGGGCCTCCTTCTCAAGCTGCCCTTCATCTTATGCTACCTACTATTTTATTTATTTATTGTGTGCATGTCTGTTTTATTCCTGGGTGCATGATTTGAGACAGGGTCTCCCACTGGCCTGACACTCATAGATTAGTGTCAGCGTGCCTCAGAAATTCCCGTTTTTCCTCCGTGTTGAGTTACAGTTGTGTACCTGCACTGCCCTTTCTACATGGTGCTGGGGACTGAACCTGGGTCTTCCTTTTTGTGCCAAGTACTTACTGAGCTCTCTCTCTAGCCCTGTTATCCTTTAGACTTGTCTGTATATTTCTATCATTACGTTGCTATCTTGTATCTGTTTAATAATTCATTAATCCAAATTCCTTCACTTCTATTAAATTACTATGTGATTCCCATTCTGATTGGGCCCAGACTAAGATAACACAGAGAAGCAAACACAGTTTACTTCTGGCTTTATTTTATACTATTATAATCTATGTTGGCTTTGTTAAAAGGCATCAAAGTTTGCAAGATCAGGAATAAGCAGGCTACGATAGATGCACATGGGTTAGAATCCTTTCTCAAGAACAAAGTGCCTCAACCTGCTTGTTAAATTCCTTTTTTTTTTTAAAATTCAAAATGTTTAAAACGGTACCAGGAAAAGCTTTACAGAGTAGCATAATAATTTAACAGAGCAGAATGAAAGACAAGTGTCAAGTGATGGAACAGAATCAGTTTAACACAGTGAAGTTCATGCATGGAAAGCTCCATGTTTTCAGCTCTCTACTTCATTCAGGATGGACACTGGTAGCACTCTCAAGCAAACAGGGGCAAAACTTCCCAAGTCAGAATGACGGCAACATAGGGTTTCACAAAAGAAAACTTTTATTTATGCCCAAACTAATAAGCTATGATGTCACTGGAGCACCGTCCACTTTCCCACTGACCTAGCGAAAAGGTAGGTTATTAGTGATACGATGGTGTCAGAAGTACAAGGGCACTGTAAGGTATTAGAGCTGATTTCAAACCCAAAACAAAGAGACTTTTGGGCAAATTATAAAGGCGCCAGCTGTGTGTGGGGACAAGCCAAGACAAAAAGGTGAGGGGAGGGAGGAGAGAAGAAAAAACCAAGCTGTATTTGAATTAGGGAAAAATATGAGTTTAGAATATGAAAATGAAAAACTTGGAATCCAATTAGAACACTTTGGCCCCAGAGACAGAAACTGTCTTTTGAAACATGAATGCTCTAAGAGACTATGTCAATCATATCTGGGCCTGGCACAGAAGTTGTTTTCCTTGGGAACTGCATTTACCATAACTGAGAAATTGAAGAATTAGACTCTCTGTGAATTCTAAATCATTTTATTTTTCTCCCTGAGGTCAGTGATCAGCGGTTTTCTGACATGGAAATGTTTTATTCTTCTACACTAAACAACGGCTCCAAGCTTTATTGTGTGTAATTACATGTAGTTACAGACAGGAAAAAAATTGATTTCTTGGCAAGCTATAATTTAGGAGGGCTCCCCCAGCACTCTGCCATTAGTGCCAATCATTAGATGTACCTCGTCCTCCTCCTCCTCCACATTCAAGGGTACAAGCCACACCTTACTTATTAAGCACTCCTGTGATCCTGCCACCTAAAAGTCAGCCTGTAAATCATGGACTCAAGAGTAAGAATCCAATGACACACCACAGACAACATGGTGAGCACCAGATTTTCTTCATCAAATGAAGCTTAGGAAGCAGATAGTTGCCATATTAAAAATAATAATATGCACGAGTTTGGCATTATGGTGTAAGCATGGCATCCCAGAACTCAGGAGACCGAGGAAGAAGAAGGAGGATTTCAAGTTTCAAGCCAGCCTGGGTTACATAGTAAGATCTAGTCAGGAAACAAAACAAAATGTATAACCCTTTCATACTCACAGGCCACTCTGGGGCTCGGCACTTACTGAGTTAAGCCCTTTCATTCATACAGCCCAATGCCCCCGCAGCCTGCTATTCTGTTAGGTAGCCATGTGTCCGGTTCCTTTCCTCTGTTAAATTTTAAGTACTGCACAGGAACCATTTTCCCCGTGAGGCTCCCACACTTGGGATGCAACCTTCTCTGCGGAATTTTGGCACCCTATTAATTAGTGGTTATGAGTGGGAGCTGCTCTCTCTCAGCAACTCCTACTCTGCCATCAGTCAAGTGTGATTCTGTAATAAATTTCCACAAGGCAAACTATTTCTGGTAATTCTCCCTAATTAACACCAGGCCTGCTAATAATACATCAGTGCCTATGTGTTTCTGATATAACCAAGATCTTGTCTGAGAGTACTCAGAACGGGAAACTGCCAACCTAAATTAAGCTTTTGCTGGCAAAAGGATTTTTATATGTAGTTCAGTTAGAAAACCTTTGATAATCTTATATTGGGGACATGTGAGTAGAAAACACTGACTGGCAGGGAGGTTTGCTCTGGTTTCAGCACTGAAGGGGGAGTTTATTGTGAACACACAGTTGAGACGTAAGCCTATAAATCTTGTACTGGATTACTGTTTCTTAACGAAGGAATGACAGATCTCTTATTCCGTCGGTGCATTTTAATGTGCAATGACGTGATTGACAGAAACCAAACAGCAGCTATTAAAATGTCAGATGCAGACTCGATGCCCTTAAAAGTTTGGCTTCTGGAGTTTAATATACTGTGGGCAAAATAGACTTGAGTTTCTCTCCTATTCCCAATGTACAGCCTGAAACACAGACATCTCTCTTAATTTGTATAGTTAGAAAAAAAAAAAAACCCTCTCTCAAGTCGATAAACAAATGAGTAAGAGGTGAATGAGCCTAATGACCAGTCAGCTAGTGAGACTGAGCTGAGTTGTACATATCCTGGCTCATGCCAAATGAAGACAGCAGGGAATTTGTTCTTTGCTTATGATCTGTGACATAACAAGGCATGATACTAGGTCATTCCAATGAATAATTTCAGCAATAAATATATTTAAAGACAGCTTATCTATTGATTTACAAACATGTCTTATATACATTATATATGCAAAGCACAAAAACTGGATAATAGAGAGTAGATGTAGTATTTTCAAATGTCCTCTTTCTGGGACATTGGGATTGGCTAATCCCATGTCAGAGGCTCTTCAGGGGTTATTGCGTCTTCTCTGGTCCTGTGAGGATGGAACATGACTTCTCCCCATGTTCACTTAAGTGAAACCACATACCATCCGGAGAAAAAAAACAGGCGTGCAAGTCAACCATTACAATTGTTTATTGAGTATGTGCTCATTAAAGTATCACTACACAGATTATATTTCTTGTGTGATTTTTTTTTAATCAGAAAACATATCCAAAAGCAAAGAGCAACTGCACACGAACTTAAAAATGCAAAGAAACAAAAGACAACAATCGACAGTGGCAAATGACACATTACGTATCTAAATCCAATACCTTAGACGTGTGGAGGTGAGGGGCAGACTGAAATGAGGGTTCATTTGCGTAAAACTATCTTCTGTGTTTCCCCTCGCTCCAATGGAGATGACTGAACTGCAAATGCCTAAAAACAGTAATGTAACACCGGCTTCACACTGCAGCAATTACTTTTCTACAGAAGTGCTTCTAACCTAGGGTTCCTTGAAAAGACTGCATTTTGTTGTAGATCATTTTAAACACAGTTTTATATCAGTATTCAACAGACAAATGATTACTTTTGTTTTAATATTGTGGCCAAATAAGTAGGCTTTAGGTTTACAAGGCGAAGGTAACCCTACCAATGGGAAGCACAGAGTCGCTAGGAACACAAACAGAGATTGCTACCTCAACAGGCAACAGCCATCCAGAACAATTAGAGAACAGTGTCCATTTGGGCCCATCAAAGTCTGAAAAATGAGAAATGGAATAAGGGACGTAAAGAATCATGCACTATTGTTTTCATCCAGGGCCAATCAAGTACAGCCTTCAAAAGAGACATCTAGCGTGAGGAGAGCTCAATGTTCTACGTTGAAAACATAGTAATGAAAAATGCTGCTGACACAGAAGACTTATAATAAATACTCAGGGAGCTTGCCAGAAGGGTAAAGTGCTGTGCCAGGTACTAAAAGGTCTGTGCTGGAAAATGAAGCATGCCGATCCTCACTGCAGAAGACTCTTCTGGTTATGGTGAGAACTCATCTCCCAGGAGCCACTGTTTTAGGAACAGATACAAAACTTGCCATACAATATGGTAGGCAAAGAATAAAGACACAATGCCAATTAGCAAGCCACACTACTGTTTTAGGGATTAAATTTAGAGAAATACAGCATTATAAAATGCAGCATTATATACACAAGTAACAGAGAAATAAAGTTTAATAAAAATGAAATCCTTAAAGAAAGATAACTTTATAAGAAATCCAAGTCAAAGAAAATGCTTTGAATATGCAAATGTCAAAGAATTGTCAAATATCATGGTGTATCATCTACAAGACAAAAAACACTATCACATCAAAAAAAAAAAATCACCAACTTATTTTGTAGTATAAAGCCAAAGCCTGACATTCAGATCAGAAATAACGCACCCCAGCCAGTGAGTCTGCTATTGGTCACTGCAGCAGCCATGAGATCTAATGCATGAAGTTGCGGCATTGACTTCTGAAGACATTTCCTGCCTCCCTACAAGCACAGGTGAGGAGGTAGTCTGGGCTGCTACTGGAGACGTTTCTGGTTTGTGATGTGTGTCACCCTTCCTGCTCATTTATCCCCCAGTTCATTATTATCTGCATATAATATAAATTCACTAGACCATAAGTTAGCAGCTTTCAGGACAGATACCTTGAAAGTTCTTAGGGAGGTTAAACAAATACTGTAGCCTAAGATCTCCTCTATAAAACACATACACACACACACACACACACACACAAATGGATGCACAGGTGCTCTTGAAGGATGGGATAGCAAGAACCAGGGGACGCTGTCTGAATTTTGAAAGTACCATGCTCTCAACAGATTTAGCTATAACTCAGCAGGGTCATGGGCTTTCATTCATTGTAGAAACAAAGAGAAAAAATATTAAATGGCATAATTTGTTTTCTCACTGGGCAGTGAGCCACACTGCACGGCTTTCTCACGGTCACTTTCCTGACTACAAGTGGTACCTAAACAATGCTCAGCCCAATCATACAGAATAAATGACAGGACCATGTGAGTAATGGATTACAGTCCCCCATGCACTACCAAATGCCAGGACCATGTGAGTAATGGATCACAGTACCCCCTGCACTAGCAAATGCCAGTGAGTAAGAGTTGCCTAACTCCATGATCACACAATTGGAGGGAATTTACTTCTTACTGATAGAAAAGAATCCTAGACAAAAAAACATCAAACAAACAAAATCCCAGAACAACTCCAAATAAGAAAAAACACAGTAACAACACAAACTTGGATCTTATCATAATCCTCAATCCAAAAATATTACTGGGCAAGGAGTAGTTTCCAACTCTCCAGTCCGTGACACAATGGCAAGAACCAATCAGCTCATCATATGAAAGGGGGTAGTGGCTCTTTCTACTTTCCAGGTACAACTGCTTTATTTTCCCAATTTCTAGACCCTTTATCTTCTACCTATTCTCTTAAAAAAGAGAGAGAGAAAGACAACTATTGGAGTCTAACACTACTGAATTATCTTCACCTCAGCCTAAGAAGCATGGTAGCCTAGCCCAGGTAGTGAGCCACACACAACGCAAGCAAACTGCCCCAGCTGGAGGGACACCAGCATCTGCAACCTTTAAGCAACAATGGCAGCCTTGGGAAGAACATAAGAGATCACAGTGTCTCTTACGGCATGCCACACTTTGATCAAAACTTCCCTGGACCGTCTTACTGAAAGAACCAACGATAGAACCAAAGCATGTACACACACTAAAAAGAAAAAGACACCACCTACTCATACATTTATTTAAACTCTTACTTACTATTTTAAAGATAAAATAGGTTTCTTAAACAACTATTCTTATGAATAAAGTTTAAGGCACTTGTATTGCCTTCTGTGAATTCTCATAGCTACCCGACAAGGAAAGTATCACTTCAGCATAGAGGCTAGAGTTTTTAATTCTAAAGTGTAATCCTTTACCAATTTATTCTAAGATGAATTTAATAGTCAGGAAATTGATTTTTGTAAAGACTACTTCATGGGCAGAAAATACAGGCTAGTCATAATAAATCCCAAACTGTCTGTGACTTTCTGAAGCCAAACATTTTCTCACAGAGTTGGTTTTTAATGTTGGCGTTTATCCATTCAGGGCTACTACTATTTTAGAACTTCATATAAATATTAAAACTAAAAATTAAATGGTAATTTAAATTTTCCCCCTTTTTCTTCAGATTTCTTCTCTTTCCTGGAACTGTTGATCTTCAAAAATTCACAGAATGAGCATGTTTTTTGCAAAGTGGCTTGTCCTTCTTGGAGAAAAATGTCTGCCCTTCCAAACTTTCACAACACACCTGCAAAAAAGAAGCATTACTTAAAAGAATATCATTATTTAAATCAGATCTCCCAAAGGGAAGTGACTGTCCCCAATGAGTAACATTATAAGTGCTTTAGACAGTTATGTGAGACACCCTGACATTTCAGATTACTACAACATTTCATGTCATCTTGGAAAAGCAAAGAGTGATTATTTTTCTGGAACACTGTCTGATTTATTGAAATCACCAATGATTGCTTTTCTTTACTGAGAGGAAGCACTTAGTCCTAACGAAAACTTCAATACATCAAAAATTCACATTAAGAATACAAATTCTAATCAAAAGAATCTATTTCCTCTTATAAAAAAATTAAAGCATTCACAAAGAAACAGTTCAATTGCTTTGCCAAACATGACCAAACCCAATGTCAGTCTTTCCTATTATATACTGGCCATAGATTATTATTTTTTATTAGGTATATGAGTCTGAGTATGGTATGGGTATGTGAGTGCGGGTGCCTCGGGAGGCCAGGTACACTGAGAACCCTGGTTGTGAGCTGTCTGATGTGAGTGTTGGGAACCAAACTCGGGTCCTCCACAAGAGCAGCGAGTGTTTTTTAAATCACTGAGCCTTCTCTCCAGTCAAGAGGCTGATTTTAATTTACTTCCTGGATGAAACCATTCATGAAAGAACTGATTAAACTTGATTCTACAGTGAACATCTTGCACAGTATCTGTCTGCTGAGTGGTTCTGTGGTCAGGCCACCCACACTTTTGCCTTCACATAGTTTCGGATGTCTTCCAAATGGCAATGCTCATGAGAAGGTTTTCCTGAGAAGGTAAATATGTAAAAAAAGCTGCTTTTTATAAACTTTATGAAGTCTAAAAGATGAATGAAGTGAAAACAAGAAGTGCTCAAAGGTAATGTTTGGAGAAATCATTTGATTTCACCACTGTCTCTTCTCTTATACAATGGGTATCAAACACTGTTAGATATATTAAATCTAACCACAGTAACAGATATCAAACACTGGAATGAGGCATCTTTACTGAATATTAGCTTTCTAAATTATAAAAATTATCTTAGGTTAATGTTAACCTTTTGATCTATCTTAATCATTAAAAGTAAAAAGAAGGCTAGGTATAGTGATGCACACCTGTAGTCCTAGAACTCAGAAGGCAGAGGCAGGCGGATCTCTACGATTTCAAGGGCAACCTCATCTACATAGTAAGTTCCAGGTCAGCCAGAGCTACATAGTGAGACCAAGTCCCCATAAAGAGCTGTTGGGGATAGCTCAGTCAATAAAGCACTTGAGCTTGATCCCCAGAAACCATGTACAATGCTAGGCATTGTAGCACATGCATGCTTGTAATCCCAAGGCTGGGAAGGTGAAGAGAAGAGTGTCCCTGGGGCGCTCTGGCCAGACCATCTAGCCCAATGGTGGGTTCCAGGCCCATGAGAAACCTTGTCTCAAAGGAGGGGCCAGTTTTCTGAGGGCGATACTTGAGGTTGTCCTTCAGTCTCCACAAGCACATAAACACATGAACACACACAAATACATGCAAACACATGTACATACACCAAAAATAAATAAATCAAAACCAAGAGCATTAACGTAGCAAGTGAAATCGGTAAAATGTTTCAAAAAGAAAAGAAAATTCATGAGCCATCTATCAGTCAGGAAGAAAACTGAGCCATCTTCCTGGTTCCCCAGTTTTTTATAATTTGTTTTCTATTTAAGAAATACCCAATGTTCCAAATAACTTAAAGTGTTTAATAAAGGAATTTAAGAAAAGAACTCATATTAAAAAAGGCACTAATCCTCTCCTTAGAGATAAGAATGCATTAAAAGTCATACTTTCTCTGGGGTAAGATCTTATTAGATGTCAAATAATGTCAAATCCAACTTTTAAGAATATCAAAACCCAGCGTCCGTTAGCTTTAAGGAAGGGAAAGACCAGAGTGCTGTTCCTTCCATCGAGCACTGAGCTTTGAGCAGGACAGGACAGCTTACTTACCGAGCACACAAAGCAAGTATCATGCCAGGTATAACCCAGAGCTTCAAGGAACATGTCTCCAGCTTCAATGGGGAATTCACATCCACGGCATATCGTTCCAAAAAGGGCATAATAATCTGCATCAGGTTAGGAGAGAGATGTAATTTAAAGATGGCAGGTCACAGAAAAACAGTGGTAAGATGGGAGTTAAGCAAGACACAAAGGTTAAGACTGAGGTGGAAGTGAGGAACACAGTATCCACTGGGGATGGGACAGCTTGGTTGGGATTTCCTCACTGGACTGGATGGAACAACTACTCAACTTAGGATGTATGTTCAGGATGGCAAACATTATGAAACTTAGTTCTTTATTTTATTTCCTGTGTTCCATGTCTCTCTGTTTAAATGCCCAGATGCATGAACAGGAGATGACTGTTCTGTGTAGTTTTCAGTACACTTGGATGTGTCGAGGAACAGTAAGAGGACTCTCAATCATTTGCAACAGTGAGCCTAGATAATATAAATTGAGAACAAACTTGGCAAATCTTACCGGTTAGCATTTTTCCAGGACATTTTTTCACAAATAAGGACTGTGACTGAGTTCCTAGCTGGACTATGCCAATAAAACCAGGCACAATTTCTTTTGTTATATTTTCCTTCTAATTTTATGACTCCATACTGGAAATCTTTAGTCAAATAATATGAATAACTTGACAGATTAGCTCTAAAATACTAACAGGATTCCCTTCCGATGAAAGCAGCCTTGTCCTTTCTCTATTATTAAGTAAGAGTGCTGTCACATTTTTATTCTCTTTTATTCAACTTCATCACTGCTGTGTTGACCTATGAGCCAACTTTTGGTCTTTAATAATGTCAATCCAGCTGATGTTGGAGGGGAGGGATTCTATAATATGCAGCTTGATGCAAATATTCTCTAGCACCATGTGTTGTATACACCTCCACAGACTCTACCAAGCAATGCTCCAGGCACCACAGAGGCAGAGAGGCAAAAAGGACAGGTGTGGATGCTCATCTTAGGAGGCTTCAGTTGAGACTGTGATAGGTACAATGAAGCAACAACCAGTGCTGTGATATAGAATAGTTAGGGGACATACACTACATTCTAGGAGGGTTAGGAAAACCTTCCCTGGTACATAACAGTCATGAGGAGACTCCAACAAGGAGGAACCCCACTGAAAATATTCCAGTTAGAAGAAACTGGTAAGTATGAAGGCCCTGGAGCCAGACATAAAATCTTAGCCATGTTCAGAAACAGTAAAGGGATACGATATGGTTAAATCTGGTGTCAGAATGTAAAGAGGCAGGAGAGAAATCTGGCAAAAAAACAGGAGGACGGTGCTCATTCTAGGAGAGGCCGTTTACAGGACACCAGCACAATCTGACTGCCATTGCTGACATGAGAAGTCCAGGCGAAGACTGAGAGCAGGCTGGTCAGAGTGGCGACACTGGAGATGGAAGGAGATGCTTATCTAATATCCACTGCATGTGGAACTGCCTGGAATTACTTGTTAGATTCTGTTTCGGAAGAACAGAGAAAGAGGAATCCTAGGTGTTTGGACAGTGGACAGTGCAACCATCTACTGAGAAGGGAACATTGCTAAGAACTGGTTGAAGGTTAGGGGAAAAGAATAAAACTTATAGACCATGATTCCCCTCTGCTAGCAATGCATTAGTTTGTCATGACTTCTTAGAACACATTAAACATCACAGGTTAGATAGATGTTTATGTTTTTGTACAGTTAGTCAGAATGTCTTACAAAACTTTCTAAAACTCACAAACCAGCCAATCAACTAAACAAAACCAAGTCTCTCTTCAGAAAAAATAAGCTGAAGAACATGAGATACTCTAAAGATGGTAGAAAGCTTACAGCCAACTTATACTGCTAACAACACATGGGGTATTTTATTGGCGGTTTTGGGGCTTCCTGGTGAGCAATCTGGAACAGAGCCAAACCCTTCCTCACTAAGGGGTTAAGGGGAAGGCGAAAGTCAGAGTACCAAGTGAGCAAAGAGGTAGGTGATTCTGAACCAGCTTCAGACAAAAGTTGATGGTTTCTTGAACTTTACCACTGTAGAAAAACCTCTTCTAGGACCACATTTTGAACTTCAATCTAATATAAGATTAAAACCCAATAGTGGGAACAATAGTGGGAATTCGGTTAACAGTAGTTAACTGAATAAAGGAAAGCAGGTCTCATATTTTAAAATATGCATTGTGGGAATAATATCTGAATAAAGAGTAAATGGTAAGAAAGCTCACTTGCACACGTGGCAAAGGAATGGGAGTGCTGGGTGTTCAGGTAACAAAGCAAAGGGAGGAGATAGGCTCTTAGAACCTAAATTATCAAAAACATCTTTACCGGGGAGCAACCTCGCCAAGATTACTTTCCTATTCAGTAAAGGCAGCAAAGGAGTTCACGTTTATTTTCAAAGTTGTGGCTTTAAAAAGCAAAGCAGTAACATTAGAATGTTAAACATTTCTCATGTTTATAACTACTTGGTATCATTACTACAATAAGTGGCTTTAAGCTATATTTTGGGTAGAATTTGCATCTATAAATGACTGGAGATCTGAAAATATTTTTCCTACTAAGTAACGCCAACCTTCTTAATGTTCATAATGAAGTTGGAAATGTTGTCTTGACAAAGTGATGGACAGTTATTATTCTTTTTGTTTTGCTGTATATTCAGAGTAATAGGTAACGTCTCTAAAATAATAAGGAAACCTTGTTGGCCTACACTTTTCTTTCAATTTTACAGAAACAGAAGTGTTTTAGCCTCATTCTCAACTAAGGCACTAATGGCTTCTCATCTCACCTGTCTCACAGTATGGCTCTCCATCTTCCAAGTGGAAAACATTGTTGCGAATGGGTTTTCCACAGGCCACACACACAAAACAGGACACGTGCCACGTTTGTTTCAAGGCATTGATGACTTCCTGTTACAGAAAGGTGGATGGATTTAAAGAAAGACGACAATAAACACACCAATACCTTCTCTTACTGTTGTACCACGCCAACTCAATGTAGACATACGTATTTCATCTTTATCTTGAACATCTCATCAAAGAAACAAGAGATGCGTACTGACAGATTCACATATCACTGAAAACTATTGTAGTATGTATGTGTAAACAAAGAATAATCACTATTACTAACCCTATACATGCAGTGAATAAGGGAAGGATTACATAAATGCTTGTTACAACACATTCTGCTTTCTTTCAAACGGTGTCAGGATGCATTAACCTAAAAAACTTTCATGGCATTATCTTGAAAATGTCATGAAGGAGAGGAAAGCATTTAAAAACTAAAACAAACCTAAACTCCAGTGCATTATGGAAGCAATAATGTAATCAGTATAATCCAATCAGCTCATTGAGTGTTTAGCTTTTTGGAATCAGCTGTGACTGCACTATGCACTTACTCCATTGCGTAAAGTGTGAAGCATAAAAGCAAGGATCCTAGTCCACAACAGCCTCCTGGTTAACTACTCCAAGACACAAGACTAGGAAGAGATTTTAATCAGTAAGAGGTTTGAAGTTGTTAGTTTTTCAAGAACTGTTCCAAGGATTCCACTGAGAAGAGGTAAAACAATTGAAAACTAATTTCTGAAGAATATTTAATAACATGGGAATTCTTTCTTTCACTTCCTAGAGTCTTATGGTTTTTACCATTCTTGACTTTTATTAATTATTTTCTAATCCACAGAATATGTTTATTCACTAAATCTAGTTTACTGATTATCTGTCAGCACTTATGAAGGGATAGGCTAGCACTATATTCCTCTATTACCAACACATTGTACAAATTAACAGCATAGAAATTGGTCAGGTGGCATATGTATAACTGTTAACTATTTTTAAAGTTTCAGACATACTTAAGCATGTTTTCCATAAGTCACATTTTTCTAGAGTTTCATTACTGTATTTATAGATTGAGAATAGTAGGTAGAATTCAGCAAAGCCATTCTAAGTTGTATAAGCTAAAGCCAAGAACACTGGTTTCTTCTAAAATCAAATTCCCCCCACTACTGGTCACCTACAGTAGATGCCTGACTCTTAAATGTCAATGAAAATTGGATGTTATTTAACATGATGCACATCTATTCATCATTATTTATTACTTTCTTTTGCCAAAGAAAGCATAGCTTGAAATGTTTTTCCTATCACATGTACACTTCTATAACTGAAGTCACAGTTTTAAACATTATATTCATTCAAATAAAAAATCTTATAAGCTTCACATTTTAGAAATTTTTTATATTTCATGAGATCAGTGTCCTGTGCTTGAACTCTGACAAGCAGGGAAAGGCTGCTCTTATAAAAACTATGGAATTTAATTTAAACCAGTGAAGGTGTCAGTCCTGAAAGCTCGTGTGTGTGGTCCTGAACGACCTCTTCATTCCTGAGCAAACTGAGTCCTGCTGAGGTAGCACACCCACAGTAAATTATTTTTCCCAGAGTGGCTAGTCTTTCACCAGACAAGCCAGCGTTTAGTAAGAGAAAACCAAAGACAACTAACCCCACGAGTCTGATATACTTCCTTAGAGGTCTGTTTAGTTTTGTTTTATAATAAACACAACTAATGAAAGCAGAGAGGACTGATCAAGCAAGAAGAAAATAAAAAGTAAAAGTAGTGAAAAGATCTATTACAAAAATCTACGTAGCTTTAGGATACACTAAAAATGAAGAAGTAGTTTCAAACACTCACTCCAAGTATCTTCCTCTGGCAGCGGCCACATTCAGGAGCAAAGAACTTCTCGTAACATAGCTCGCAATACAGTGCTCCCTTCTCCTCAACAAATCCAATGTAGGCCATCGTGTTTTTGCAGTGAGCACAGTTAAATTCTTCTGGGTGCCAGGACTTCCCTAGAGCCACAAGGAAAGGTCCCCTGCCAAAAGAAAGAGACCAACTTGACTCAAAGATGAAAGCTTCTGTGTTAGTCTGGAGAGAACCTCTTCTTACATATGTTGTCTAGTTAACTGTCTGCTCGATTTCCTTCTTCAGGACTGGGCATGGTGGTACTGCCAACCTGCACAGGCACTGTGTGTGAAGAGAAAGGGGACAAGGAACAAGAGCGCTTGCTGGATCCTTCTAGAAGCCTCCTTCTCCTCTTCCCCATTTGCCTCGGATTTGGGGCATGCTTGACTGAGTTACAGTAAGTCACTCTGTGTACATCATTATGACTGAAAATGAGATGCTAAGGGTGATGGAGAAGAAGCATCAGAATAGCACGTGTTTTAAGACAGGAGCATAGTTGAAAAAAAATCTCAATTTGGCAATGTCAGATCCTTAAGAATAGTGATTTCCTGAGAAGCATCAGTCTTTCTTCCCTACGTATGATGTCATATGCTTAATTAAATGTTTCTTATTCAGCATCTAAATTAACCACAGAAACTGAGCTGTACATTATCAGTTATTTGAAGCTAGCTAGAAGGTTTTTATTTCATTTCAATATGACTAATTTAAATTGTATCGCATTAAGAACATTTAACATGAGAGCTACCCTCAAAATGTATTTAACTATGCACGACAATGCTACCAAACATAGGCTGATGTTCTATGGTAATCTCCAGAAATCATTCATCTTGCATAATTGAAGTTTTATGTTCAACATTTACCAATCTCTCCTTCCTCTTCTCTAAATATGACAGACTTGGGGATAGGGGAGGAACAAGATCTTACTTTGTAGCCGAAGCTAGCCTGAAAGTGAATCGGTAGCTTCAACTTCATGATCCTCCTGCCTCAACCTACCAAGTGCTCAGGATTATAGAATTAAATGATACCATGGCCAGTTAAGACCGATTTTTTATTTTAATGTGTATTTTTATCAAGGTAACAAATGTTTGTATAGCGATCTTTCCCCCTAAATACTATAACCATGAACTGATAGGATGTGCTTGGTTCACTGAACAGGAACCCATTAGGAAGCCTTATCTAGTTAGAAGCCTTCAGAGATGAAGCAGACTAGCCTCTGTAACACACTTTTCGGGAGCTACATCACACTAATTTTTATTCATGGAATGGCTTTACCTCCAAGGCACTTTTACACTTATCTAATTTGTTCATACAACATTCTTGTGAGATAGACCAGGGCAATTATTATGAACTCAGTTCAACAGATGGAGTGGTAAGGCCAAAGAGTATTCAAAAGATATGTCAAACATCATACAATCACTGACTGAGCCAAAGTTAGGGGCTGATGCTTCTACTTCCCAATGTATCATCACTCTAGTCAACTGCGACTCTGCTTTCCACCTCACTACTGTCAGCCAGCATCACAGGACACCCACAGGCGACAGTTAGCAAGCATACAACACTGGACTCCTAGGCAGAGTTATTAACAGATGTCATGGCACACACAGCAGCTTCTACCCTGTGAAAACAAAAATCTCCATTTAATAGCTATCTCACAGGGTATGGCTACATGAGCCTGTAACTACAGATTTGGGGCTGGGAACAGGGGAACCTAAGAGCTCCATGGCTGGCCGGCCTTGCTGGGAAGGCGGGCTTCTGGTTCAGTGAGAGAGACTTTGTCTCAAGGTAATAGAGCAGAGAATGGTAGAACCATCTAGTGTCTTTTTCTGGCTTCTGCATACCCATATATGAGTACATGCACCCACATACTCATGTACACTACACACACACACACACACACACACACACACACACACACACACACACACATACGCAAGCACGCACGCACACAAATAAATACTATTTGGTAATTGCTCCCCACCACCAATAGTCTGGTACCAACATATCCAAGTCCACATACTAATTTTCTTAGCGAAAACACTAGCGTTAACTCAAATCCAGTCCACAATTCTGCAAGAGTCAGGCAGCAGAAAACAACTTAGTAAATTTTTTTTCTGTGAAGCACAAGAAATTTATTAAGAATTTGATGCTCTTTTGTACATGTGACTCTGCTATATTTGAGGTACATAGTTTACTATTATTAAAACTTATGGACGATCAGAGGAGTACTTCAGGTACTATAGTTTTGCAATGACTAACAAGGAAGTTATTATTATTATTATATATTAATACAAACAATATACATTAATATATTATATCAATATAATAATATTAATTATAAACATAAATATATTATATATTAATATCTATTATTTCTACAAGAAAAGAAATGGCTGTGTCACCTATTGTACACAAATATGTTACCTCCAGTAAGCTATCCTGCCATTTGCAACTGCTTTATAAATATTCTCACTCCACAAACTCTTTCATTTATTTTTCTTAGTATATATTTGGCAAGTACTTTACCAAACATCAATCAAGAAGTTACATTCTCAAAGCTGAACAAACTGTTCTAAGTACTCTAAGCTTTCCCACCAGCTGGGAATCCAGGATAAACTTAGCGTGACTATAATGTATAGTAGGACTTTGGGGTTTATGTCACATTCTGTAAAACACATTCAAACGTTTTTACAATGCTAGGCTGAGTTTTTGTTAGGAAACATCTTCATTTTGTTGCAAGCTCAATGGCCAGTATCCTTTGGCCATTCAGTTTTCAAAAGAAGTCAGTTCAACCTCAGACTCTGCATTCTTCTGAAATGTTAATACTGGTGAGGGCTTGGATTAATAATGAAAGCTTTGCCCATGGGAGCACATCTATTAATCCCAAATAGCTGAGGAGGCTCCTCTGAGGGAGAAAAATGGCAGTCATGACCAAATCAGAACACAAGAGAATCGGGGGCTATGAATCACAGCACTGGACCAGACCAAGCCCTCAGAGAACTTTTATGAGCAATCTGTGTTGTGATACATCAGCAGCTATTAACAGTTGCTATAGGAAGCAGTCTCATGATGTTCACCCCTTTTCTTCTGGAAGCTGATGTGAGGGTCCTCTTAGAGCACACAGGGTCAGGCTCACATGAGCTCCTTGAAAAATTTCCTACCAAATTTCTTTAGGCTCCCTTGAGAAATGATTTTATTTTTTAATCACATTGAACAGTAGGTTACAAAAAACAAAACAAAACAAAAAAGAAAACAAATCAAATGGGTAGCCTGATTACAGGTAACTCTGTGGGTAATTACAGTGAGTACTGTCTGTCTCAACACTTGCTTCACCCTGAATGGTCCTACCCATGATTTGCATTCCTGTACGTAGCCCTTTGTAATTCAGAAGGCTAACATTTCATGTATTCTTTTTATGTGCTTGTGCTTGCGTGTTCTCGTGTGTTTTGATGCAGCTATGTGTGGTATATGCACACTTACACATATGTGTATAGAAGCATAAAGCTGGCATCAGGTGTCTTTTTTGATAACTCTCCCCACTGTTTATTGAGGCATGATCTCTTGCTGAATTCTGAGCATGTCAATCCCAGTTAGTCTAGCTAATTAGTTTGCCCTGGGGATCCCACACTTTCACATGGTTCTGGGGATCTGAACTGAGTAGTTAGCTTGCCCTGGGGATCCCGCACTTTCACATGGTTCTGCAGATCTGAACTCAGTAGTTAGCTTGCCCTGGGGATCCCGCACTTTCACATGGTTCTGGGATCTGAACTCAGGTCTTGATGGTTTTGTAGAGAGTGCTTCATCTACGGAGCCACCTCTTCAGCACCACATTGCATATGTTCTTACAAAGCCATTAAAAATACCTTTTGACACAAAGCTTATCATTAACAATTAAAAATATAGTCTAGTCTATTAAGAGAACAACTTTAAAATGTTTCATTCTTTTTCAAACACGAGCAGTAAAGGAAATCCTAGACAGTAAAGAACATGAGTCTGTACCTTTAAAATTTGAGGAGACAATGAACCTTGCTTTTCTCAGAGCTCCTTGCTCTAAACCAGCACAAGAGGGAAAATGCTCGCCTAACTGGATCATCCCTGCTGCAGTGAGAGAACACTTTCCTCCAGTGCCCCTAGGGTTATGTGTAGATTAAGCAGCAAGCCTCTCATGGAGAAGGAAGCACTTTCTTCTGTGTGTCAGCAAACACTAATTTACCAAATTCATTAACAGCGGATTAACACTAAAGAAGTTCTTGCTCCAGATGCGACTGGGTTTCCACCTGTGAACTGGACCGACAAGCTTGGATAACTGCAAGGTGGAATTAAATATTCATCTCCACTTACAGTGCTCCACCCTCAGCCCTTACTAAATCCATGTTGACTGACAAGGGAAGGAAGGGAAGAGTAAAGGCATCTGATGGGCTGAGATGAAGACTATCGCACACAACTTTTTAACGCTGCCTGTCTTCTGCTCCTGCCTCCTAAAGAAGGAAAGAAGCGGAGTTCAGAGAAAAAGAAAAACTTACAGATAGAAAGGGAACAGAAACTGCTATCTCAAGAGGTACAGCCTAGCAGATCGGATTAGCTCACATATCAGTGCTTACTACTTGCTTCACGTTATTTAATCCCCAAGCAGCCTCAGCAACAGAAATTAACTCCATTACACTGATGAAGAAAACATTAGCATTTGCCAACTTTCCCAAGATCATGTAGATAACAAACTACAATGCTAGAACCTTGCTAAGTCCAGATGGTACAGATGGATCTATTGATGGCTGAATATATTTACGTAGTTGTTATACCATCTTGGTGGATTAAGGATCTTACAATTATAAAATGTACTTTATCTCTAGTAACAATGTTCACTAATGTCCATTCCATCCCACCCCAGAGAGAAATAATGATGTGGGATGGAGCAGAGTCAACTGAGTAGAGCCTTCAGTGAATCCACTGTATAGATCCTCACTTCTACACAATGCTAAACCAGAGAGTTGACACGATCTGTTTGAGCAAGTGCTGAAGACGATGTGTAGACACTCTGACACAGACTGGCAGGAATGCAAAATGGTACAGACACTGTGCAAGAAAGTTTAGTAGTTCCTAAAACCAAGTTATTTATAGGCTCTGCAAAGCAAA